CAACATTAATAGCAAAACATCTAGGAACAAGAAACACCAGGCTGCTAAAAGAATAAAATTGAACCCAGAACATGTCAGAGAAATTAAGCAGCGCTACTTCAGAAAACGAAAAGCAGAGAACCCGCAGCACATAAGGCAAATAACCAAACAGTCGGTAGGGAAAAGACAAAAGGCTGAGACTCTGGCAAGTGTATCGCAACTAACATGTAGCAGTCACGAGTTGCAGCCACAAGAAAACGAGTACGATGCAGTTTCTATGATAATTTTTTTTACAAAAACATTGCATGTGGCCCAGAATATGTATGCACTTGTTGTGACCAGTTGTGGTTCAAGTGCTCTGTAGTGAACTATGATCCAAACAAATATAGGGTATGTTCATTAGACATTGTTGAGTCGTGTCTTACAATGGCACTGAATGGACAATTGTCTATTCATGGAAACATTGTCAATGTGCCAAGTGATGTAAATTCAACTGTCCATTGTCTCCCAAGGCCAAGAAGCGAATCACAGACCATTCCAGTAAAACTTAGAAGGCGACTTGGTTACAAGCATCACTATTAGTTTCAGAATGTCAGGCCTAAGAAAGTATTAGACGCAGCCAAATATCTTGTAGACACTAGTGAAATATTTAAAAGTGAGGGTATGAAAGAGCAAAATGCATGGGTAAATGGCATAACTTCGCAACCCATGAGAAGTGGGGTGAGTTTGTTCAAAACCCTAACCCATCCAGTGCTGATGTGCAAACTAATGACATTATCACAAATTGTCAAAACAATATTTGCACTGCTGATGTTCATAATCCAGACAGAGAAAAAGACACTAAAGGATTAGATTATGTTTCCTGTCAAAATGTTATATGTAGTAGATGAAGACCTTATTTCTATAAACATGCTCAACTAATAGCTGCTTATTAACATGATCCACTTTTCAACTAAACACGTTACAAATGGAACACTTCTTCGTTCCAAAAGAGGCAAAGGACAGCACTTCATAGAATTATTACCACGTACCATGAGGTAGCTCGAGGGAGCCTTTGATTTATTTCAAAATTGAAGTTATCATATGACAAATATTAAGTGGACAAAGTTTGAACAAAAATCTATTGTCACTTTTATTTCGGAGAAATTACCTTAAACAAGCTGTTAAACAAAATATCCGCTTATGGTACTTAATTAGCTTTTATATTATCTTAAACTTTTACGTTACATTTCACTGCATGGGATATTAGAACACGAGAGTCACTATTGCTGACTAGGCCGCAATGCATGTAGAAGACATAGAAGTCGTTCTCAAGTAGATCCCTTATGGTACTTAATTAGCTTTTACATTATTTTAAGCTTTTACATTACATTCCACTGCATGGGATATTAGAACACAAGAGTCACAATTGCCGACTAGGCCGCAATGCATGTAGAAGACATAGAAGTCGTTCTCAAGTACGATTTGTAACACCTAATAACTTTTCAGGATTTTGAAGGGCGAGGTAAGACTCGAGGTTTGGTAGACAAAGGAACCCATTACCTTAGAAGACATGCGTGTCGTGAAAGAAATTAATGGTCCCATGGAAACCGTATTTTGTCCGGTATTTTATCAAAATGCAGCTCTTTGTGTTTTTAATTAAAAATCTTGGCTTCTTAACTTAACTTTCTCGATCAGCATTGTCTATTTTTGAGTCGGTTTTGCTGGCTATACCCGGATGGATAGTACTCGTCCGTGAAAATTTTCCTGTAAGCAGGCGGGATTATAAACAACAAACATCTGAAATTGTATTAAGTGGGTTTTTTGTCTATTTTCTTTTTCAAATTTTACGTTTGGCTGTCACGGCTTTGGTCCAAAATAGTTGAAAATAATTTGAACTGGCGCGCGGAAGAAAATTAAATTAAGTGGTGAACAATAAAGACAATAAAGTGTTTATGTCGAAAACTATCGGTCTGATAGTTGCCCCTTGAAAATTTGATGTTCTTAAATACTTCGCTTATCCGGCAAATATTTGTTTTGAGAACAAATATTTTCCCAAGAAGCGAAGCCTCGAGGGCAAATGCGTCAGTTTTAAGAACATCAAATTTCCGCGTGGCAACTATCAGCCGATAGCTCCTCGACAAAAACATTATCGTTTAAATAGAAATCTCGAGCTCATAATCTAATTGTTTAATAGAAGCAAGAGTGGAAGTTTGGAGAACTAGAAGTGCTGAGGGAAAACTAGTGATAGGCGAGTGCTTCAACAGCTTTTTCGCGTTCTCGCAAACTTTCAGGAGTGTTTCTATAACTCAAAACGTGAAGGAAATGTTTTTTTTTTTTTTTGTAATAGTTTTTTTTAAAAACAAAAGCAGCCCAAAGAAAATAATGAACAGCATGACTATGATCTTTTTTAACAATCACCCCGCTATTTTCTTTGCGCAGTTTTCTTATCATTCTATGGAGTGGTTTTTCTGTAAACGGTACACATTTAAGAAATAGACAACATGTACCGTGTTTCTATCGAGTTATAGAAACACGCGTGGAAGTTTGGGAGAACGTGAAATGCTGTGGGAACACGAGTCACAGGCGAGTGCTTCCACAGCTTTTTCGAGTTCTCCCAAACTTTCACAAGTGTTTCTATTAAACAATTAGATTATGAGGTCGAGATTTCTATCGCGTGATAGTTGACGAGGGCGCAGCCCAAGTCAGCTATCACGCATAGAAATCGAGCGCGAATAATCTAATTGTTTTAGTATAAATCTACTACTCGTTCAGACCTTTCATCTAAATCATCTTCACAGACACCTCCAAAACGGCAAGAAGCGGCCCCCAGCTAGCAGCGCACGCTGCTACGCTACTCACTATCTATCACAGAATAGAACGCGAGTAGCGTAACCAATCAGAGGACAGCATTCGTGATAGAGCGCGAGTAGATTTATACTAAAACTCGACAGAAACACGGAGAACAGGTTTTCTATTTTTTTTTTTTTTTTTTAGAAAACACCGTGGCGAAATAAAGGAAGACAACTAGTTAACTTTGGTTTTTAAAAATGTAAATTCTCTTTGCCTGTGCCATCATTACGTCGACAGCTCGTGCTAGTTCTGTGTTTCCACCGAGTTAAAGAAACACGATTTTTAACCAATCAGCGCGCATATTTTCTTAGTATGGTTTTCTAAAACTTATTACAAAATTATCGTTATCAGGTAGCGGCGAGGGTCCTGTCACAGACAAGCATATTCTTTGCATTCATGAACTTGTTGGAGTCTACTGGAAGAAGGTTCTGCGAAACCTGTCCATGGATGACACGACCATCAGAAATTTGGAAGAGGATTACAAGTACTGTGAAGTTGCTGAAAAGTGCTACCAAGGGCTTTTGAAATGGAAAAAAAATCTTGGCTCCGAGAAAGCGACGATTAAAAAACTGTGTGACGCACTGCAGAAAGTTGGCTGCTCAAAGGCGCTGGAAGCGTTGCGGACTATGTCACATCAGTGTGACTCTTAAAGGAGTTCTGTCATGGTATTTTGAGTTGTTTTAGCCATATACAAAATTACCTTAAAATTGTAGGAAACCTTAAAATAATAGCTCACTGAGATCGAAAAATACCAAAGAGATGATAATAGTTCTTAAGAGACCAAGGATAGTCAAGGATGGAGAAGATTAATGAGGACAACAAAACGACAAACTAGAAAACTTTAAGCTAGACTATTCCAGATGTGCAAACCGTGACGTAGTTCCCTAAAGTTTGAAATAGAAAATAGAGCTATCGGACTTTGAGCATGTTTCATAGTTTCATCAGGTTTCTCTTTTACTTAAGCAACCAAGGAATTTCGTTCACTACAGTTGCAATCGCTTGATTGTTATCAGTCTAAAAATTGCATTTTCTGTTGTTTGGGTGCTAGAGAGAGAAGTATGAAACCTGGGGCGAGCTCCAAAGAGTGTTCTTCTAATGACGTCATCGGTTGAGGTAGAACTCAGACTCCTTGGTAAAGCAGGCCGGTTTGAAAGCTAGAGAGCACAGAACAAGCTGGCTTCAAGACCTTTGAACTAAAACATGGCTGCATGGTATTGACTGGAAATGTTTTAACTTCATCATAAAAAATCAACAGTTTGTAACTCGATAAAGATATATGGCACTCTCCTAATGGCATAAGTAACAAAGGACCTGCAGAAATATGTAGCAACGGAAAGAGTTTTTTTTTTTTTTTTTTTTACAATTTGTCAGCAGAAAAGTTTGGAATATGATGTTAAACAGATGAAACCCGCTGGCAGTTGGTCCGATCGTGGTCAATTCGAAATCAGTTCATAGTTAACCGACAGTTGTCGGCTGGTGTAATTTGTGATATAACTGTTGTTTGGATGATATCACTATAGCTATTTAAGTTATGGTTTCCTTTTATTAGCTTAAATAGTTTTACCCTTTTTTGGTTCGCACCTTCACCCTTAATTATTCTTGTTAATATCTCACTTTGTTATACTATTTATTACACATTATTATTATTATTTTTTTAATTTTCACTGTACAACTGACGATGGATGACGTCTCATCCGAAGCATGTATTGTTTTCATTAAATAATGAACTTCAAAAACATCGTGTGGTTCATCAAAACCATATCCTACTTCGTGTTGCTACGAAGCCTTGGTAACACTAATGATAATAATAATCACTCTTGCCCGGCCACCAAACTCACACCCAGGCCTTGCTCCTTTTTTGTGGGACGATGTTGCATACATACCAAAACATTTAAGGCTTGAAAAAAACAGCAGACTCAACCATCATCCTATCAAACCAGGTTTTCTATTTAATAGAAAATGACACGCTGTATATGATCAGTTGACATCATCTGTAGAAAAAAGGAATTGTTGATAAGAAGTGGCTCTAGTTTCCAATGTCAGTTCTAATTTGAATCTTGAATGTTGTGATTGTTTTTTTTCGATTTCTTCCGAACATTTTCCATACTATCACTGCCATTAGTATAGCTTGCGCAGCAAGCGTTCCCTTAGGAAAAACATTCTGGCCGCACGTAAATTTAGGCCACGCGTAAACTGGAGCGAGAGCAAAAGCTCAACGAAGCAGGAGGTGGTGGGGTGAGAGAAGGAACGCTTGCCCGCAAACCCCTCGATTTTGAAAAACCCGTTCGCCCACGAATGGGACTCCTGATTGGTGCGGCGTGGTCATCTTGATTGACAAGTGTATCAAGTTCGCTTGAATGAATCCAGGAAGAACTCGATCGTGGCTTGCACAATGATGTGGAGGAAGGTTTATGAAATTGTGCTAGCCTCAGCGAAGATTGATTAGACTTGACGTGGATGTTACATATTCAATTCTACTCAGAAGACACCATCTTTTAGAGGGCAAATACTTGGTGGTTCTATTAAGAAATGGATTCAGCAAAAGTCTTTTCAGCTGCTGTTTTAATCATCGATGGTGCGCGAAGATCAAACAGGAACCAGGGAAGGAGAACTAATCTTTGATAGTCTCATTTGGCAACCTCGCTTACCTTTGCTCAGTCATTTTTCGTGTCCAGATGACGAAAGACCGAATTTTAGAAGCCGGCGACTGGTTGTTGTTTTCTCTGCAAAAACGAATTTACTCGCGCTGACAATTTTCAAACAAAGGTTTCCGATTTCCGGGTTGTACTATAATTCAACGGTTAAATAAATAAATGACCGTCAAGCTAGTGAATGGTTAGAGTTAAACCACAGGAAAAGCTGGTCTTAAGCCAAACATTTGACTTATTGCCCTCCAAACGAGTATGTACATACTTGTAGCACTATTTTGATTTTAACTCAACCGTTAAAACCAGTGGGAGTTTTTCAAAATCGAGAGGCTCGTGGGCAAGCGTTCCCTCTCTCCTCCCGCCACCCCCTGTTTCGTTGAATTTTTGCTCTCGCTCCAATTTACGCGCGGTCAGAATGCGGAAAAGTTCTTTGTACGGGAACACTTGCTACGCGGGTTACCATTAGTACAAAACTATACACAGACGCACACACACACAAAATCAAATTGCCTGAGAGGACCTGTAGAAAACAACGATGCATATGCTTTCTGTTTGGTATTTCATATTTGCAACGATATCACTACAATGTCAGGAGGGTGGTTTCTACCCTTGCATACGGTGGCTGCACTCGCAGTACTAACGGTCGAAACCGGTCTGTTGTTCCCAGCTGATTGTTAAGACGAGAATTCTAGGTTTAATTTGACGGGGAAGAACATATTTTGTTCAAAATAGCACAATTATCTATCCTACCTGCCGTATGCAAGGGTATGACCACAGTCGAGAGAGAATTGAAGACAATCTCGGTGATCAGTGCTAGAAAGATCGCTCCGATGCCGAAGAGTTGTTTCAATCTCATTGCATCCATAACTGACGAGCAAAATTAGGGTGTAAAATTAAGATTTGATCAACCCAATTACATAAAATCACTTTTATTTTCAGAGTGAGACATTAGCTGGCTCCCTCCTTATTATCCTTTACCGAGTCCAGCTGTAAGGGCCATTTCTACACACTGGTGAGAAATAGAAGTATGAAACAAAGATAACAGGGGCAAAGTCCTGCCTGTTTAGAATATTTATTAAGTATGCAAACTGTTTTGCTTGATTAAAGATCTGAATGACTTTCAACCAAGCATAACCAATAAAAAAAATGATCTGAGTCAAAACACATTTATTTACTATATACGTCGTTTGGTTGAGTCGTGTAATAGTAACATTACCTTCGACTTCTATTTAGTCTATTAGCACATTAACGAATTGTTTAACGCAAATTTATCTTCTCAAAAGCCAGAAATGCCTTTGTTTCTTCTTAAGCGCTTATTTTTGTTATGTGTTAATAGAAACCAGGATCAAGAGATCGATAAAGGGGTGGATTTTACTCGCAGAAAGGACTGAGTTAATGAATTAAAAGCTACGAAAGTCGTCTTTCAAACTTAAAGTTTGTCCGCTCTTCGTTAACTGATAGGTTTCTCTGCAGGTCGTATAGATCTACGAGCGCTGGATATTTGGAAGTTACTATTAGAGTTAACAGACACATAACTATGTAAAGTCCATTATGATAAGGGAAAGTCCCTTGCTCGGTATGAACTTAATTGGAAACCGAAAGTATGAAATCGATTGTTAGACAGATTGTAAAGCATATGCATACAAATTTGACTTATCACATAGGACAGAAACTGGGCTTGCTGCAGATGAAAGTGATCCTGAGAGCTACTTGTAAATCTGCTTCTTCTCACTTGGCTTAGCGTTTCACTTGCGAGCCCTTGGAAGGCAGCTCAACTCTTTCTTTGAAACATTGGTATTTATGCGTTTGTGCGTGATTTAGGTTAAGCATTCCTGTGCTCAAAATAGCAAAACAATTAGCCTTTATCAGGACATAATTAATGCATTTACAGGGCCACCGTTACACCAATTTCTTTCTTATTGTTACGTAAACATTCGGTGCAGAAAAACATAGCATGCTGATTAAAAGCGGTATCGATGGTATGAATTGAAAGTGTTACGCTAATTTTTGACTTATGACAGAAGTGAAAGTAAACGTTTGCCCTTGGTGCTTAGGGTAAGCATGCGTTTGAAATCGCGTAGTTAAAATTTTTCCCACGGTCTTCTGACACAACTATAAGAGACTTTGCTCTAGTTAACAATCATGTTGGGGCACAATTTCCCTCTGTTTTCCAAAACGGTGGAAAGTTCAGAAAATTTAGATAATATCTTACCTGACTGGCGAAGGAAACTGTAGAACAAAGTCTTGCTGGCTTTGATTCGAATTTGAAAAACCCAATAAGCAAAATGTTTATGACATTAATTCATTTAAGAAAAACAAATTCAACTTTTCTCAGTCTCAAAATAATATTTTTACAAAGGGCGTGATTTCCCTGAACCAATCACACATCTTTGCAACGAATAGTAATCAATAAGTTTGCTTCATTTTCTATAGACAATAGACTTCGTCAAATTACTGTTTTCGTGGATAAGGGGACCTGGCTTTCAATTTATGTCAAAGAATTGGGAAATAAACGAGCTTTTTTGTATTGTTTGTTTATTTATGATATAACAAAAATAGATTCCATCTTGCCGTGCGTCCGTTCTGTATTAGCATAAATCCACTAGCGTTCTATCACGAATGCCTTTTTCTGATTGTTACGTTACCCGCTACCTATTCTGTTGTAGATAGTCAGTAGCTCAGCAGTGTCTACTAGCGGCCGCTTGTCTGCGTTTTCTAAGTGCCTCTGCAGAGGATTTAGATAGCCTGTCGAAAGGCTAAAACATTTTATAGTAAAGCAATTACATCATTCGCTCTCGATTTCTATGCGTAATAGAAATCTCGAGCTTATAATCTAATGGTTAAATAGATCGCAGAAAACCTCAAAATGTGATAAGACACACACCCGGCTATCGACTCGTGTTACTTGTTTTTTTTTTTTATTTTTTTATTTTTTTGTTTTGCTTTGTTTTGTTTTGTTTTTTACTACATTTTAAAGTCATCTGTGATCTCTTACTGAACAGAAGCACGACAACATCGAATCTATTTCTTAATTAGAAAACGATGGACGAACCAATCGGATTCGCCGATTTCCAATAGAATACCGCTAAGTGGCTTCTTAAAGTGGTTTTTCAATCGGCAAGTTCACTACCCGGTAGAACACCAAAACACCTAAATTCTAACATTTCGAAAGAAATAATGTCAGGGTAAAACCTGGTATAAAAATCATTTTCGGGCTTTTCATCAACGCTGGGTACTAACAACGCTCTCAAAATCGTGATAGTCAGAACACCAACCTGTTAGAAACGAGAACAATAGGCAAGTGTCCGTGACTAGATAACGTGAAAATGCCTTCTTGCATTTGATTTCCTCGGTGTTTGGACTTAAACTATGGCAGAAAAGTCATGTTTAGCTCACCTTCTGTGAGATATTACATTCTGGTGTATTCAGAATACTACAGTCAGGAAGGAAGAGCATTTCCAGGTTGGGTTATCGACTGAGACCTAGAGGGACTCAAAAATCTCGGAAATAGGTTTATCTTCTAAATATTTCCTAAGTCATTTGGCAAGAGGTAAAAAGGAATAAAAATACGGACTTCCCCCACCACAAATTGCCACATGCATGGCAATTAACTTAAAAGAGGTAAATTAAACGAGCTTTGGCTAAATGCCGTTGATGTTCCCCCCTCCCCCCCC